CCGGTGGTCGATACAACTGTATGTCAATTTGTGTGCAACGATGTAAATGTGTTCCTATTTTAATTACAGTGATATTATATTTGACTAAATTGATTGAGCTGCGTTGTTCGTAATCCGTTTTCATTGAGAGTGAACGCGTTGTCCGGTCACGGTCATTTGTTCAAACGCGAATGGCGGATGATGACCGCGACGTCACACTTTTCTCCGCGTGAATACCTTATGTTGAACGTGGCATCACCCGATGCCGTCGGGCTGCCAACTCGCCATCCTCTCTCTGTCGAACTGTCTGTTATTGCCCTACTATCACTTTACCAATGAATGACTCCAAATCGTATGTTATTCGATACTATACAATAATAGAAATTGTGTTTATCCCCTATTATTTTTATGCTTTCACATTCACTAGCCTCAAAATTACGGTTCAGTGCATTGAAACACAATTATAACCTGCATATTTTGAAGTACAGATGTAATTCGATTCTACAATTAAGTCACGTCGTGTGAATGAGGAATGTATGCAAGTAGCAGGTGTACATACACTTGATGGCTAAACGTGCATTCCATTGCGCAACAACTCTAATCAAAAGGTTAAAAGTCATGTAAATTGTTCAATGGCTTTAGTTTTTTTTAAGTCACACTAAGAACCCCACTAACACTTATGTTCGGTGGTATCGTTGGCGGGGTAGCTTTCTAGTTATATCGTTGGCGAGTCTCGCATGCCTTACATGTGAGTCATGCTAATACCATAAGTTGGTGCTTTTGCATACCGTGTATTAAACATAATAAAGTGCAGGCTCTACTATATTTTCATAGTGTCGGCTCAAGGTAAGGTTTAATAATGACGAAAAATCTCTATTAATTAAATAAAATTTTAAGTTCAGCTATCTAGAGATTGAAAGCTAACTATGGGAATTTGAATTGAGATGAGATTACCTATATTAAATTAAATTTAAACAAAATCACAACTTTGTGTAGTGTTTTTAATACATGCACATTAAACTAAATACATATATGTATAAAATACCTTTTGTAATATTGGCAATGCCATTACATTAAATTCTTAAATCATGAGTCGAATAACATTTCCGGTTTGAATGTATCGGCATGATATTATATTCATGACTAGCTGATACCCGCGACTTCGCAGCGTGGGATTGGTAAAAACATGTTTATCTATAATATAATATGTATGTATTTAGGAATACATAAAAATCGACTTTTGTTCTAATTGTATCGTTTTTTTTTTAAATCGAACCCCTAAATATTTACGGCAAACAAATTAGCCTAAGTTACTTCTTAAATAGTCAGCTACATGCCAGTAAAATTTCATCAGAATCGGTCTAGCTGTTTCTAAAATTAGCCTGGCACCGACAGACATTCAAAAATTTAGAAAACTCATGTTTAGGCATAGGCATCGTGCAAATAACTGTACGAGCTTAAAAAACTAATATTTTAACATTAAAAAACACTTAAATTTTATTTGTATTGATTAATTCGTATAAATTGTTTCTTGATGGTCTTTAATTACATTTCTTTTGTTATACTTGGTAAGGAGAAAAGCAGCTTGACATCACTCTATGACGGTCTAAAAACTTGTCCATTTGCAACGAGGGCAGCGTTCATACGAAATCCGGTTTTAAAATATTAAGCCGCGTGGAGAGGAATAACAGCAGCCGGCACACAACTGAGCAAAGCATCTCGACAGACTATGATTGTGAAGATGAACTCATATCGCCGTCAATTAGTATTGTTGCGTGACAGCCTAACAGTACTGTCGCATTATGTAACAGACATGGAAGCATGTACATAAAAGGGGACCAAGTTCTCAGGCTATTTGCCGCGCTCATCAAGACGAGTTGCGAATGATACACGATTACCGTGATATTAGAATTCTTAACTATACTCTTTCAATTACGCAGATAGTATCTTTAGTTTGATTTTTAGATAATAATTATAATCATTGTTTAAACTATTGCCAGTTATTAAATTCCTAAACAGTCTTTGCCACGTACAACTTTTTAGACGTTGAAAGGATATCAGTTAAAACAAACTGCTTTTCGCTTATCGGTAAAAGGGCTGTACGTTCATTCATGGGTGCTTAATAAAGACTACGTGTTGTCGTGTTGCGGATAGGTCCACTTGTTCCGCCCCTATGCACTTGCTGCAGGGGTCGGTATGCCCACGCTTTTTGCACCTGCTTTATTATTTTAACTCCCACGCTGCACTCAAACTGAATTAACCTGTTTAATGAAATCTAGTATGTTTACTCATGAGCCATGTTATTTCTCATACCATATTGTTAGCTTCTGGGAATAAAATGATCGGACCTTAAAATTATTGTAGTTATTGCACCTTTAAAATAAAATGGACGGAGTCTGGGGGAGGCCTCCGTTCAGCAGTGGACGGCGATATATTGATGAAATAAAATGTTCATTAACAAGTAATTGATACATTCTGCGTCCACATACCGAAGGTTATTTTTCAATAACTTCTCATTATGTTACGTTCACCTGAGGTTCAGCTCGACAGATCATGGTGAGTTACAGGAAGAGGCAAGGTCGGCGTCCAAGCGTGAATGAAGTGCCACCTTCAAAAACAATTTTTCTTGTAGCACTAGTATACTATTTTCATTAGCTAAACAGGTAACGAGCTGTGGATTCAACTCTACATTTTTTGCGTGACCGTTAAAATCTGTCGTCTTACGCATTAACAATTTACAATCGTTTAATTTAGTCGATAACAGTTTGGTAAACCCATGTACGTTGCCCAAGTAACGTATATCGATGCGTGTTTATTTTATTATTACGAGTATAGCTCCGTGTTTTCAATGGTTCGCGGTTCCTCGTTCGACTCGGTAGCAGCTCGTGAGCTGCAGTCAGCCAAATAGCGGAAGCGAGCCGAACCATAACAACGCCGACGGCTGTTTCGGTTTCTGACAGTTAACACTAATAAACTGGTTTCAGATGAAAACTAAAATTAAATAAGAACATGTAATTCTAAACTTAACTTATATTTACTTGTGTTCTTTTTTTTTTGTATCAGTCATAAAATATTGGATATATGTTTTTTAATTGCTTATGGGGTATACTGAAGGACTGTTAGGAACTAAGTATTGCTGATTTCTAAAATTGGTATTTATAGATGTAATCAATAAAATAATTTCACACATCTCACACACGGCAGTGTGATCAGTCTCACACAGGTGGCTTAGTAGTCAGGGTCACTAACCACTAGGTAGACCAAAAGGCTTATTTAAAATTTTATATTTTATAGACAGATAATAATAGTGGGACTCGTTGCTAAGGGGTAACCGGGTTAGTTCGCACATGTGTTTTTTAAAAAGATGAACAGCAAAGTTAAGCAGTCCTAACCAGGTCAGTCTATGGATGGGTAACCATTCTTAACACATTGAGATCCCTCCGTACGTCGGAGAGCAAGTACGTGGTCCCGATAGCCATACAAACATCTTTGGCAATTGTTATGGGTAGCTGAAGCCCTAAAAAGTCTGACAACAGTCTATTTACATAACCTCGATATCCTCCAGTACTTGGGTCGCGGAGATCTGATGGCAGTCATTTCGATAAAAATCGAAGTTCAAGTCGTGTCGTACTAGACTGAAAGTCGCCACCAATCTAATTTAGGAAAAAGGTTCGGGGGATGAGGATGATGAGAGATATTACTAAACTTAAGTTATACCACACGGCTTCAAAACCAACCCACCCCATTTCCCCCCTCCTTCTTCATTTCGGGGGGAGGAACTTTAAACGTGGCAGCGCACTTGTCACTCTTGATACTCTATCAGGTAGGCAGGTACCGATGGGCGTCTGATCGTTTTCTGTTAAAACAAACTTATCTTGTGCTCATAAGACTGCCGCTTCACTTTACTGTATGTATATGTCATGGGCCACACAACACCACTTTCTTTTTTAACCGACTTCATATACTGTTATAGACATAATATATATGATATATATGATATATATATATGAATATATATGATAGACATAAACATTTACTAGTTCTTTTTGTTTTCTTTTCATGACTATATACATAATGTTTTATCATCGGTGTTGACTTTGAAGGCGCCTTGAAATAAAAAGGGTTTACTCATCTGCGCAAAAATTAGAAATGATATATATTATTAGGTTATTTATCTAAAACTACTTGTTTACTTACCTTTTTAGAAGAGAGAAAATTTACGGACATTAATGGTCGGTCGTTTCATGACCGCTGGGCCATATGTTTATGATATAAATACCTACAGTGATGTGCGCCTGCGTACCGCCGCGCCCGCGCCGCCATAATAAAATGATGCATGCCAGAAACGCCCACATCGACTTTTCACTGACAGATAAAATAAATATTGTATTGGACAAAATTATTTTTGCAGAAAAATCACAGAGTGTAATTAAGAATAATTGCTTGTTACGTAAGGAACTTTTTGAAATAGAAAGTTACTTGACAACTTTAGTCGCTTGACCTACATTCGTGACCATGACTGAATGGTTGCCATAATCACTATTATTTGTTTAATTCAATACTAATGTTTATTACTAATAATGAAATAACTCACGGCAAAACTGTCAGTGGAAATCACAAGTATTTTATTACTTCCAATGTATTAGTACTTCCAATGTATGTGTATTATATTTGGACAATTATCACTGATAATAACGAACTTTTTAGGTGCGGCTTAAATTAATACTATAAATCAATGACGATGATATATATATATATATATGTATATATATATATATATATATATATATATATATAAAATAAATCAATGATATATAAAAAAAACGCTGTAATATTTTAACTATATTTTAACAGAGTTTATCAATATGTTTTAGCTTGTTGATAAATGTAAAATTATAATTTATTTCGCATAAACTATAATATAAACATTTTGATAGGTTTCATATGAAGTTGCATTCTTATGTTTCTTTTTATAGTCATTGTTTTCTTGTTCTTCTAGCTTAACTTGATGCGGTGACACAATGGATGCGGCGGACAAGCGAATGCTGGAGCGCGAAGCGCTCCGCAACATGATCCAGCAGTGGAACGCCAATCGCCTTGATCTGTTCGCGCTCAGTGAACCCAATGAGGTAAGCATCACCTTAGGTTTATTTGTCCCGTCACATCTCAAAGTGCCTTAATACTGATACTATATATGAATCGGTAGTTAAAACGCTGTTATTCGGCTATTTTTACTGTTTACTTTAGAGAAAATCGATTTAAACTTACCTTTGTTCATTAACTCAGAAGCGTAACATAGAGATACAAATAAATACTCTGTTTCTGCTTAATAAGTTTTGAAAGTAATTTAGGTACTTATGATTATGAAGTAGGTAGGTAACAAATAACTTGTAGGCTAGTGTGCCTGCCTGTGAGAGTTCTACTCGCGCTATAATTTATTGTGTTTAACTCTGGTTCTCATGATTGTTATGATAATCTGTTTTATAAAAAAACTTATTGTTGTCCATTATTTTTAACGAATAGCACCTTGTTCGTAATTTTCGAGTGTATAAAATCGTAGTTGATTATATTATATTATTTATTTAGTGCTAATGTTACGAAATGTATAAATTCTTTATCCAAGTTTTGTCGTAATAACAGTTGAGAACAGTAGATTCCAGAACAGAAATAATAGTCATATAGATTCAAAGAGTTTGTGTCTTTTGATATTCTGTGTGTGTGTGTGTGTGTAAGATAAATTATGAGTCTTAAAGATTTTATGTCTGTTGTGTGATGTTTTACTTTTGAACAGATTAGTCATTCCTGAATTATCAGCGCCATATTATCTTTTGTTTTGTGATCAATGCCAAAGATAATATACTTTGTTGTATTTTGTCCGTTTCCTCTCCTTTGTCGTATTATCATCTACTATCTTCTAATACTGCTGCGAAAGAATTAGTAGTAGGTACATGCCTAATATCTTATAAAACATGTCGTCACGCGTGATTCATTTATCAGTCACACCATTCATATTGAACAATTAACATATTGGATCTCGACTTAACTGTTACGTTGAGTACTCAGAGGAACGAATTCAATGCGTCACATTTGTCAACATTGTACTAACAAGAAACCAAGAAGATATTAATCTTCAAACCCATCTAAGTTACCTACTTCAATAATAGCCCATACTGCTAGACACTTTAATTTCACCACTTCGAGTGACATAGGAGACATCAGTTCAGTTCTTGGCACATAGCAGCACATTACAAGCTGCAGTGTTAAACCCTATTGTTTTTAAAAAACATCGTGAATGAAGACAACCAACGGAGAATGAATCAATTATCAACATTGTGAAATGATTTCGAAGTTTTCTAAAAGGAAGCAAGCTTTAAATTAAATACAGCAAGAATCTAAATATATCTGAAATTAATTACCTTATTTATTCATATTAATTCTTAATCTGTTGTGTAATTCTAAAGATCTATCGTAATTGTACACGTATTCCCTTTTGTGGTATGTATAAATGATTGTAATGCGATTAATAATATAGAACTAAGCCTGAACAGCAAAATTTAACTGCACTATATTTAAAGAATTTACGTCATTAGGCAAATACGAGATAAACACTACAAAGATAAAATATCCTTGGTCCATTTATCATTCTAAGAGATGTCCTATAAAATTGCCGGTCAATTCTGGTTTAGCATTGATTTAATATTTTGTTTGTTTTATTTTCAGAACTTGGAATTCCATGGTGTAATGAGATTTTATTTTCAAGATTCGGGGCAGAAGATAGCAACGAAATGTATTCGCGTCGCCTCTGATGCCACTGTGAGCGATGTCATAGGTGAGAAAGCCAATTTATGTGAATATAACGACTGCCGACTCCTATCTCAGCGCCGCGTCGTCGAAACACTTTCCCACAATAACTTTAATATAATGTTAACTTTCTTGAACTAAATCGCTTTTGCGTAATAGCACACTGACGTAACATAAAAATATATTAGATAAATCTACACCACAATCCTTTCTCGTGCTGTCCTCAGTAACCTCGTCAAAGTCAATATTTCTACATCATTCAGTATTCTCTTTAAATTCCGATTTCTGATATACATACGTAGGTATGTCATAAAAACGTAGTTAATAATTTGCTATTACCAAAAAAAGTATGACAGAGTTCTAACCTTTTTTTTTTTTTTTTCGTGCGGAAATCCCCTCGGATACCCCCATCGGTGGCATGTCGGACTCGAACCGACTAAAACCGCACGCCGTCTCGGGTACTATTAGCTGGGGAACCAGGTATACCCTAGAAAGGAAGTCCCCGGTGACAGAGTTCTAACCTAGATCTAATAACTTTATGTTTATATGACCCCATTTATTAATGTAGATCCAGATGCAGTTTCTCGTTTTAAGTCGTTATCGACTAGCTTGTATGTTGTTATCGATGACTGTAATTATGATACCAAATAAGTTACGAGGCCCATGCAAGTAGTAGCATAGTTTTGATAGAGCTGATATCGATATCGATCAAATAAAGTAATAGTGGAATATCAGTTAGGACGCATTTTTGTTAGGCAAATTATGCTTATGAGTGTAAAAGTAAATGTAATTTTGTACATCATACAAACGCTGACCAGAGATAAGAGTTCGCCCGTAATCCATTAAATTATATGTAATGATAAAACTCTGTGTATAGAAAGAAAAGATATGTATCAATCATTCTAGGCAGTGCTAAAACTAGTCAATAGTTTATAGTAAAAAAAGAAAAGGGAATTGGTCGACAAATAGGTATAGAATAAATAGTGTGCTTAACAAAGTTGCCTGACTTTTCAGAACTTGTAAAGACTAAATGGCTTTTCATAAGCTAATATTTTGGCTGCCTAAAGATTTCCTAGTTATACTTGGGGCTCCAGACGGACGCTACAGGCATCGAACATAATAAAAATATAATAATGTTAATTGTTACCGCCGCAAAGTAATTATAATTTCACAGACTTCTTTAATTTACATAAATGATATACATGTATATTTTATTTGCAATGGCTATGGAATGGTGGGGTGGGTATTTTTTTTCAGATTTAATAAAGACGGTTTATACAGAAACTGCTTTATGAAAACAAATGATGTGTACGCTCCATAAAGAAGATAAAAGTGCGCCCTTCGGTTGGAAATAAATCGCATGAAATAAATTTTCAAAGACTTCCGAAATAGTATTTTTTTTCTGGATAATTTAAAAAAATATCCCCAATTTCTTTCGTATCTGCAAAATTTCACTTGGATTCTCAAAATAATAAAATGCGACAAATAACTAACCCCTCGCTGTTACGAAATAAATCATAATAAATAAAATAAAAAGTGTATGTAAACTACCCAACTTTTAAATAAGTAATATCCGTATCAAGGTTGTCTGGAAGAGATCGCCGTGAGCGATAAGAGCGATTGTTACGTCTATATATTTGTAATGTCTTATGTGTTAACTGTAAACAATAAAGATATAAATAAAATAAATAAATAAAATAAAAAAGTTTCATTTTAGACATTGATCATTATAGTTACCGGTAATATTTACTCAACAGAGACGTTGATCGAGAAATTCCGTCCAGATATGCGTATGTTGTCTCTGGGTTCGTATTCGTTATGGGAGACACACGGTCCAGACGACGAACGTCGACTTGAACCTCATGAGAAACCACTTCTAGTACAGCTCAACTGGCACGCCGACGACAGAGAAGGACGGTTTCTACTAAAGTGCCTTAGCAACAACGAGGTAACAATACTTGTGTATATTACGTTTTTGAATACAATAAATACTATTGTAAATAAGTACATAGGTACTATGTATATAAGTAAGCACTAATAGAGGTCATAGCTGAATCCATCGTTTTTGAATAGGTAAATGTTCTTATCTAAAACTGATTTCTAAATATTATGTCGAAAGCAGTTTTAGACAAGACTATTTTTTAAATAAAGGACTAATATTATAATTTATTTACAAACAGGTATAAATTTTTAACTTAAATTTAGTAAAATAATGGAATCATAAAATTAATCAGTCACTTAAGGATTACTTTAAGGGCCTGTCCGCACAGCAATATTGCACCGCGCGTTGTTTTTTCGCAAAATTTTGTGGAAATAAATCGGCACCATATCGCGTTTATTCATATCAAATCACAAATATTTCTTTCGCGCGAATTTTTTTCGCGAAGTCATATAGATTCCATGTGTCACAGAATTTTGCAAGATAAAACGCGCGGTAAAATATCACTGTGCGGACGGGACCTAACTCACCACCACCACCACGAACAGCCTATAACAGTCCACTGCTTCGACTGCACGGATGGCGTAGTGGTTTAAGTGGTCGCCACGCCGCTTTCTACTACGCCGAGTGTTGTGGGTTCAAACCCCACATAGGACAACACTTTGTGTGATCCACAAATTGTTGTTCTGAGTCTGGGTGTTCTTTGTGTCCGTTTCATGTATGTTTGTAAAGTCCCCCGCGACACAGGAATATATATTCCTAATGAGGGCGTTGTCTTTTTAAAAAGATAAAAAAAAAGATAAGACTGCTGGACTCTCCTTAGAAAGAAGGTTTTGGCCTACTATACCACGCTGGCCAAACGGGTTGGTATGGGGTTTGTTTCAAGTTTTCCTTCTCTTAGCTGTCGCCCTGCGTAGTTTGCTCCCTTAGTCGGCTCTTACGACACCCACGGTATGAATAGGGGTGGTGACATTCCGTATTCTTAATCCGTCACCTCACGGACAGGACCTAACTCAATTAACTAATTTTTTTATTGAGTAGGTCATTTTACAATGCACTTTCAAATGTCACTAGTGCATTGACAATCAAATTAAGAAAAAGAGACACTTGAATAACAAAGATAAATTTATTCTGATGACCTAGTAAAAGGTCAAAAGAGTCGCCGAACAACTTTGTAGATCTCCAAGTGAATTTATAATAATAAATAAAGGATGTTATATCGAAAGATAAAGAATTTTGATCTTTAATAATCTCTCAAAAAAGTCAAAATTAGTCATTTGTGAGTATATGGCAACTGTTCGTATTTTATAAGCTATTTGGTGCAATTTTGTCACCAAAGGTTTAGGCAATTCAATTTATCAACTAGTTAACTACATCGAATATTATAAAACATCCTTGTTCATAAAGTCTCAGCAAAAACTGTGTTGTACTGTATTAAATCTAGTATAAAATTTGTAAACCTTCTTCCCATCAGATTCCATTGTCGTCAGTGAACGACAAAGGTGACCAAAACTTTAAAAGAAAATTATCAAAACGGGAGAAAAAGGAACTGAAAAAGAAGGAGAAGCTTTCACGACTGAGATCCGAAACTAACGATGAAAACAGACCGGTGGCCGAGAAACTATATACAGGTAACCAATTTTTTTTTGTAGACTCAAAGTAGCAGTAAGGAAACCTTCTTTGATATAGTTTACCCTTGGAGTCGAAGCCTTACTAGATAAGCTTCTTAATTTATTCAACAGTGTATCGAAGTATCGGCAATAAAGTGGGCTATATCTAGAAATTACACGTTTTAATTCATTATAATATGATACGTCATTAATAACGTCTAGAATTTGCTTTAAAGTAATTTATACCAGTAATCGAGAACTCCAAACTAATAGTACTTTATATTGAATATAAATGAATTTTTATAGATAGATTTAATAGCTAGTTGTAAACGAATGCTGTTGTTTGCAATTTTAGTATTTAATTAAGTTTATTTAAATAATTTTGTTAGGATAATCACACTCATCTTCTTGTAAAAATAATAAAAATAAACCCGTAGTAGTACCCGTTGTAAACGAATACGAGGGTGGTCTGAAAAGTTTCCGACCTAACAAAGATACATGACTTTTTTTCAGATTTTTATTTTTTAATTTTCAACATAGTCGCCTTGTAACTCTACACACTTCTCCCAGCGATGTACCCGGCGTTTTTCTCTGCAAAATAATTGTTCACTAAGGTGATTGCTTCTTCATTTGACGAAAATCTCTGTCCTCCGAGTGCAATTTTTTCGCTCAAGTCAAAACTCAGTTCAAAATTTTCGCTTGGTGCTAGATCTAGTGAGTAAGGCGGATGGTCAAGCAGTTCAAACCGTAATTCGTGGATTTTCGCCATGCCCACCACAGGCAAGTTCTGCCTTCATCTTGTCAAGTAATGATGCGTAGTATGCTCCTGTAATGGTTTTTCCTTTTTGGAGATAATCGTTATAATTAAAATAACTCCATGACTATCCCAAAAAACAGTTCCCATCACTTTCAAAGCCAAAAAATAAGTTTTTGCCTTTTTTGGAGCCGGTACCCCCTTTGCAGTTCACTGTTTGGAGTGTATTTTTGATTCGGGCGTATAATGGTGTATCCAAGTTTCATCTACAGTAATTAATCAGCAAAATCCAAATCTCGGATTTATTGCGCCTAAACTGCGCCAACGGAGCGTTGGAAATGTTCATTCGAACACGTTTTCGGTCTAACGTGAGCAAACGCGTTATCCAAAGCGCGGACAGCTTTCTCATGTCTAAATGTTGATTTAATATGTGACAAACACGTTCTTTTGACATGTTCATAACCCCTGCTATCTCTTACTTTACTTCGGCGGACGTCTAGCACGATTTTTCGTGCTGTTTCTACCATCTTTTTTAATTTTCGTCGGTAGTTGCAGTTTTTGGACGTCCCGAACGTTCATTGTCTCCCAAGCTCTTACGGCCACGTTTAAATTCAGCTGCCCAAAATTTCACTGTGGTAAATGATGGTGCAGAGTCCCCATACACAGAATTTAACTCATCGTTGATTTGCGTAAGCGTATTGTCTTTCAAAAACAAATATTTAATGCCAGCTCGATACTCGATTTTGTCCATTTTCGTAAAAACACTCACATCAACTCCCTCAAACAACTGTTACATAACAACTGCGACTCCAAAATGGTTGAAACTTTGGCGAGTAATTGTCAACAGATCAACAACGAAATTCACTAGCTTTTATTCACGAGTGTGGCCATCTTCTAGTTGAAGTTGGAAACTTTTCAGATCACCTGTGTATTAATCCCCAAAAATGTCGCTCTTTCTATTTGGATCCCCTGACTCAATTTCCGGGGGATTGTACAAAACTCACTATTCCACTTCGATCCCTTTCGGGAGTAGAATGGGAACACCGTGGTTCCCACGCACGAGAGGGTCATCTACAAGCCGTAGATGGCCCAGGGTACCAGGGATTTCTTTCCTAGGTACATCGGTAGGTAGTATCTGAGGGGATCTGAGAAAAAAAAGAGGGGATCGAAGGGGAATAGCTCGTGTTGTACAATCCCCTGGGGAATTGAGTCAGCGGATTCAAGTGGAAAGAGCCAAAAAAAATATTTAGTATGGTTGATTTAAATCTTTCTATGATGACATTTCTGTATTACAAAAGTCTTTACCGGTCTTGTTGTGGTCCGCAGAGCTTCCGGAAACTTCGTTCATGCGAAGCATCAGTAACCCCGAGGCGGTGATGCGTCGCCGCCGACAGCAGAAGCTTGGGCGCAAGCTGCAACAGTTCAAGTCTAAAGACGGCGGTCCTGATACAGGTATTTGAGGAATTTGTCACTGTTTCAACTTTATGTTTTTCTTTATTCAATTTGAGTAGCACGCTTAGAGCCACTACCATAAAACATTTTTCACAAAGATTTCATTAAAAGATCGAATTCATGTACAGGGGCTCAATTCTGCTATTTTAATATTGTATCAATAGACTGTGGATAAAATGTCGTCGGAATAGCTTTGTATTTTTCTTATTTTACTAACTATGTAAGACCATAGGCCAATGACTTGTCACTGATACAAATATCGTCGATGTATTTGTAATAGTTTGCTAAACGGTGCATTTTCAATTTGTAAGAAAATGATATATTTAATTTTCATGATATGTTGTAAAATCCCCATTACCTATATTACTATATCAACAGTCTATTGACACTGTGAATTTATGTTAGTAGAATTCCGATATTTTAACCGATGTCAGTGGCACCTCAATAGTGTGTCAATGGAATGACAGTGTCTTGGCGTTAACATAAAATAGCAGAATTGAGGTCCTGTTGATTTGCTCCGTTTACATAAAGGAAAGTAAAAGCATTATTACTCTATTGTCAGTACTCTGCAGCGCGCCGAGGTTTAAAGATCATACGCAGATACTGATTCCTTAAAGTTATGGTATTGCTAGTTTTCTTAATACATTAGATGTATTAAGAAAACTAGCAATAACATAACTTTCTATAACACACATATAGATATGTAGATGATAGATACGCATCCTAATGCAAGTATTTTCATTACACAAAATAAAGTGACAATGATTGCTTAGCGTGCTAAATCTATGACAATGGTTATAGCCGTGACCCTGTGTCAATAGCTCCACTTTATAACAATGATATAAATTGGCGAATCTCGGGGCCGAAAACTAAACAATTTAATTGCTGGATAGGCAGAGAAATAAAATCTCCAATATAAAAATACCAGTAATAAGTGCGAATATTCAGCGACAGCCCAAAAGTGTTTATATATCAATCATGAAGTAAGCTTTTATTTAGTTCCTTATTTACATGATGTTACATATCATAGCTGGCTGAATAGTATCAGTTTGCTGAAATCTTGGTCTTTTAGATTCGGATTTTTATTGAGAAATTTAGATTAGGATCTATTGAAAGTTACATAATTGTAATTATATTGATATAAACGATAAATATAGTGAAAAATAATTTGTGAAAATTAATAAAAGCGCACTTATACCACGAAACACGAAAAATAATGTGTGCTGTAATTCTTTAAAGAGGTCACAACTTCAAATACATCTGTCTATATCTACGATATTTTTGTATAAATCCTACCAGTTATATCACTTTTGCACAAAATCATCTATGAAACGATAGTAGATAAAAAAAACGTGAGTTAGACAGAAAAAAAGGAAGTCTTTTTCAAAAATATCACAAAGAGGGTACAACTCGACTTAAATTACTCATAACAGGAGATACAGATTTGCATATTTGATTTTTAAATATATAAATTTCACTGATTTTTAAAATGGATGAGCTTAGTATAAATACGTCTCACAAAATCCTTAGGATCTGTCTTCCTTATCTTCCAATAGTCTTCTACGATTTTTCATAATATGAAGATTGTCTTCTGAGAAGTATCTTGAACATATCACACCAAGGTAGAAAACCTATCGTCCCCTCGACAATTTGCGTCGAAATACATCTTTTTCTTTTGGAGCATTTAGGAAACCAATAACATATACCACAATGATACGCCACTATTTTTACAAAATAATGACCTCAATAAAACAAAATCAAAGGATGACCAAACAAATATCGACCTATAAACCACAAAACTATCGATACACGTGCTATCATTAGACAAAGACAACTACTGTAATTTACGTAATGAGTGAAAGGGACATTTCAAAAATAAATCAACGGGTGCCTAATTGTTATTAGTTTACTCAATTATAACTCAAAACGTGGTTTACAAATTGATTAGGCTGTCCTAAATTTTTTTTAAACTAAAGTTACTACAGTTTACTTTCTATTTGTTAATCTATAAATATTTTAGAATTACGAAATCATTTATACCATACAATGTAAGAAGTTTAAATAAATACAGTATAAAGAGTAGATTGATGGCCTTTTGTATTTAGTTTACAGAGAATAATAGTTTAGAAATAGAGTTTAGAAGAAAATAATAAAATGCCAGGGTACAGAGAAGGGGTGTAAGGTGTCCTTTGTCTCAAAAAAAGTATAATTTCCAAGGTATAGACTCAAACTCAAACTCTCTTTTATTTCATAAAATTTCTAAAATTGTTTGAAATCGTCTTTTATGTAGACTCTAAAGTCATAGATCAACACACACAAAAGCAACAATCTCTGTTTTGTCAAATAATAGGCAAATAAATTTAATAAAAACTAAAAATACAAAATCTATGATACGCCTGTGCCGATCTACAACCGCCTGTTTTCAAAGTCATGCTGCATGCAAAGCTTAGAAATGGTCATTTAATGCGAGCAAAACTGAGTGAAAAAGATATTAATAAATAACACCAGTTAAACTGTCTACATATTTCTATTGTGTTATATTGATGGATACGGATGATAATAGGTCTCTAGGAAGTTGGACATTTTTAAAACCAATATTTTCAGATTTAATTATCTGTTGATTGGCGCGCAATTCAAAATACATGCGATTTGATTTCGAAAGTCATGTTACGTTGTTTAGAGAGAGAGAGAGAGGTAGTTTTTGGCGCCATGGATAAACTGAAAATTTGTGCAATTTTCGAAAATGAGTTCCTAACGTGGAAATACATCTGGGAAAACAACACGAAACATTAATAGCGTGTACAGGCCTAACACTGCTTGCATTAACACTATCCATTATTGGTCCATATCAAGCAGACTTCTACAGTAAAGGGACAAACAAATTGCCATAATAATGGCATAATTACCCGCGGCGGCGTGCTTATTTCTTATTACGTGATTCTAAGGATGCTTCTACACTACACGGTGCAAATAATTGGAGCGGGCAAAGACGCGGGTTATTTGCGTCATCAGCATGCACAAGTTACTTGTACGTTTGGTTGGTATAATTTGCATGCTGCTCGCGCGGGTTACATGTATGCGTCTTGCTCGTTTTAGATTTGACACAGTTCAGTACTGTACTTGCTCAAGTAACCCGCGCGAGACGCTGGGCCCGCATAGTCCTTTTAGCCAAGCAAATATCATACGCAAGCTTCTTACATCATGTAGAAGCACCCTAACTTTGAAAATGATAAAATGAGGGATAACCTTATTTATCCCATTAGGGGTAAAATTTCCGAAAATCATTTCTAAGTGGCTGCTTAGAGTATGAACGCCAGCGATTAAGGCTCGTGAGTTAATGAATCAGTCAGTCAGGGCAAATAATTTTATATGCCTACACAATATAATATTTTTTTTAATCAGCACTGCTCGTAATGTAATCGCAACTTCGAATATTTTATCAAGAAATGGACTGTGAAGTCCTTTAAGGAATCAGACTAGGCACCATTATACGCATGGCGGCCCGGTATATATTAATATTGTAATTATTGGTACAACTTTCCTAGTGCAGGATCAGCAGTTACTGCGTAGTTCAGAATGTCTATGTCGCCACGAGATAATGTACATTTTATATTGTTCCAGGTGGCACTTTGCGGGTATACGGATCGATTCTTCGTCCAGACGTGTCTTACGTCACTCTGTTACTGTCTATCAATGATAGTGCAGCTACTGTGCTTCGGGAAACCCTCGACAAGTATGGCATGTCATACCAAGATCCGCAACAATTCTGTATAGTACAGGTACTGTGTTGCTGGTGATATTTGATTACTGACGGTAATTTACCTCACGAAAACCTGATAGTGTTAAATTCAAATATTGTTGAAATATACATATGCAAGGTACATAAATTATACTTATTTATTTATCTGAAAAGGTCTATATTAAGACTGAGTAGCGACTTATTTAATACCATCATAAATCAAGAATTAAGAAACAATGGTTAGAATACGTAGTAGTAATCTTACCCAAAGGTACCTATATTTTACTTATTTCTTCTCCTGTCCCTATTTTTTCGTCATGATATAAATTATTTTACATCAGGTGAAATTCTGGAGTACAGTTAAATATATGTATAGCCCTATTTCACATCAATCGTCACATCAACAGCCTTTAAAAGTGTTGGACACAGGTCTCTCCTTAGCAAGGTGGTTTTGGCTTGCTATACCACGCTGGCCAGACGGGATGGTATAGGGTTTGTGTCAAGTTTTTCTTCTCTTTGCAGTGCGGTTGTCCTGTAGTTTGTTCCCTTAGTCGGCTCTTACGACACCCAAGGTATGAATAGGGGTGGTGACACTAATTCTAAATCCGTTAGCACACGGATACCCTACTTACACTAAATAAATATCTTGCCCGCATCTATTTTTTATGTATGGAATACTTGAAACTTATTAGCGAAATACGAGTAAATTAGTTTCGTATCTTTGTAGTATTGTTGTTATCATTTTTCTTATTACAGTAATTTCCTTTGCAATTTTTTTTCCTTCTTGAATTAGAGAATTGCTAAATTTCTTTTTTGCGTTCGGAATACGAATTGCATTAAAACAATTCATAGGAGAACAGTAAACGACATATAATATTTTATTTTTTTATTTTAGGAGGATAAATCGGATAACTCTGAATACATTCTGGAAGACGATGAGTGCCCGCTAGCGCTGATGAATATGACAAGAAGTAAGTACCACTCTTTTAAAATCGTTTAAATTTTGTATTTAATAATATTATTATCGGTGTTAAAAGATGAATTGGAACTAATTAATTGGATAAATAATTAATAATACTCCTACACTATGGTCTTGTAAACCCATGTATGTAGGTTTCAATTTCGAAAATTCTGAGCTTAACACTGCAAAGGGCCCGAAATTAAACTTAGCAATTCTCATTAAATTGTCTTTAAATAAGCAATATAATATTTCTAAAGAATTTGGGAACACGTTCACTGAAGAAGGTGGCAATGTTAGATGAGAGAGAGGATAATGCAAAAGGTTAAGTGGACTTAAAACATTCGTCTCTCTCCATCGGTCTGACACTTATCACTAATAACACCCGTGGGCGAGTAGAATACACCAGACATTAAAAAAAATATGCTAGCTCTGCCAGTTAAGTTTGTAATTATTTACCCCTTTTTATTACCCTTTATTAGTGTTGTTTGAAGTCGGATCAACATTTTTTTAAAGTTTTTGCTTTTTTTTTAGTGTAAGGTATGTTCGTACTGAATAAATACGATCTTTAAAATATTACTTACTGTAATGTATGTTACCGAATTGTCCGTGTGGTGACAAATTAATAAAGAATACGAAGTATCACCACCCCTATTCATCATGTGGGTGTCGTAAGACTCGACTGAGGGAGCAAACATTGCAGGACAACAGCACTGCAAAGAGAAGGAAAACTTCACACAAACCATGTACCAACCCGTCTGGCCAGCGTGGTATAGTAGGCCAAAACCTCCTTACTAAGCAGAGGCCTATGTCCAGCAGTAGACTATTAAAGGCTGTTGATCGAGATGATGAATTGTAGCACGTTAGATTATATTAAATATTGTATATGTAATATGCTCGATACTTTATGTGGATAAAGAGGTAAGATTTTGAGTTTATTTAGAATCTTGCTGCACTTGTTTAATAAGGTTTAAAAAGCCGGATAAGTGAGTATTCCGTACACACTTGTATGTGAATAGCTAGATTCATAAGATTTATTGGTTGTTTTTTTCCGAGAGACAAACTTAACCCTTTAAAAATTACCCCAATATGTATACAGATGTACGCCACAGTTAATTTTACCAGCGCTAAACGATCGATTTTTTTGTGATATTAACGACTGTTTTATTTTTTATTGGTGTTGTAAAACCTTTTTTATATCGAGGATCGTCACCTCAACGAGACTCACGATGAAATGAAGTGTTATTTCGGAAACGAATCGACTATAAACACATGGTGTTCTGTCCCATGTGAGTCTATTGCATAAAACTCAGATATATTAGAAGAAAGTAGTCAAGAAGCTTAGCAAAGCCGCGTCTGCATTTACACCGTTACTAGCAGCTTGCACCCGGTTGCACCGGTTATGAGTCACGAGTGAGTTATGTGAGTGAATGAGTTATGAGTGGTGTCAGTGAAGAGTAATTAATTAGACTATTATTATGATAGGACTATAGTACAGGACATCTTTAAATGCAATATTTATAGGCCCGCTCCGATCCTACCGGCCGCTGCCAACCGAGACGGACGCACGGCTCGACGGTCGTTGGACCCATTTAAACGCATTTTAAACCTCTAATATCTTCTAAAATATTTATTTTAATGATATACTGTAAAGAGCAATTTTAATCGACTTTAAAGGCACAACGCATCTAATGTATTAAATTGGAAAAGGAATAATAATGTATTGCTTAAAATAGCTGCGTAAACAACCCATTATTTTTTTGGAATATTTTATAGATAAAAATGATTACTGTGGGTTATCCTTAGAAGATAGCCATGTTTTTTTTTTTTTTTTTTTTTTTTTTTTTTTTTTTTTTTTTTTTTTTTTTTTTTTTTTTTTTTTTTTTTTTTAAAGACAACGCCCGCATTAGGAATATATATTCCTGTGTCGCGGGGGACTTTACAAACATACATGAAACGGACACAAAGAACACCCAGACTCAGAACAACAATTTGTGGATCACACAAAGTGTTGTCCCATGTGGGGTTTGAACCCACAACACTCGGCGTAGTAGAAAGCGGCGTGGCAACCACTTAAACCACTACGCCATCCGTGCAGTCATATGGCCATCTAATAGGTTGTTAATAGGTATATACCTATTAAGATATACATATTAAGATATACAATTCTGTAGTACAATATTTAGATCAATCTCGTAAGGTTTAGCCAGCGTTCGCAATGTAAGCGCACAAAAACATGTACAAGCGTACAACACTAAAAAACTATTTTTATTTTATTTTATACTGTCTTGACATAGTTATTTTGTTTATCCTTATAAAAAAATAATTGAAATCGTCTTAGACTCTAAAGTCATAGATTAACACACACAATAGCAAACATCTATTGTGTCAAATATTTAGCAAAAGGAAGTTAATCCATTGTATGCCTGTGCCGATCTACAACCGCCCGTTTCCAAGGGGTTGAGCCTTATGAGAAGAAAGGGCAAACAAACTCACGGCTACTCTTTTTTAATTACAGAAACATTCGCATCATTCATTCTTTGTTCTTTTTAAAAAGAGAACTCTCGCACTAGGAATAAATCCTGTGTTGCGGGGGACTTTACAAACATACATGAACGGTCACAAAGAACACCCAGACTCAGAATAATAATTTGTAGATCACACAAAGTGATCTCCCATGTGGGGATCAAACCCACAACACTTGCGCAGTAGGAAGCGGCGAGGTGACCGCCTAAACCACTACACCTTTCGTGCAGTGTTTAAATATATAACAACATTGTTTTCATGTGTGCGCCAGTATGTCAGTTATTAAGGACTTGATGTAAATGTATATTTATAACGTAACGGAAATTGTAAATGCCAATTTTTGATATTTACACAGCGTGTTCTTCAAATGTTATGGAATTCCATAACCGTAACCGAAACTATCGGAAATCTCAAATAAAAGTATATCCAAAACCGTAACAGCAGTTAAAGTAACACACTTTATGACTGGATTGTATTATTCCTATAGGGCTAAAATTTTATGTAGATATTTCTTTAAAAATTGTAGCAAATATTAAAAAGATAAACGGTGGACCGTTGTCCTATCACTGGTAAGTGTAATGATATTCTGAGCAGATTTCAGATACGTTCACCTTGCAACGGCCTGCTTACAAAAAAATTAAAAATATTGTAATATTTCTTTCAAATAAAAGTATATGTAAATATGCGCATTACATATTTAAATATAATAATACTCGTTGCACCTAAAAATAGTATTACTATAATTAGCCAAATAGCAATTTCTAAAAAGAGATTGAAACCTTTTTACTGTCGGGAATTTGTTATGCGACCTTGTCGCCACACAAAAAATATAATAATATGTCATTATCAACAATTAAGATTTCTTTTTTTGCATTTAAATATCATTTTCGAATATTTTGCTTTTTTAAATTCTATTATATTTTTTTTTAGATTTTTGTGTAGATATTTATTTTCCTGCTGAAATAAATTAGGCCCCGACCTTTATTTCACGTTTTTTTAAACATGATATTCTCATAATCTGCTTAGAGGCCATCTGTACTAGATATTAAAAGATAATAAAGTTATTAACAATAAAACGTTTAAACCTACCGAATGATAACATACATTTTTACACATACACTATGTACATTGGTGGACTTAATACCCATAGGTATTGAGGCGTCGAGGACTCGCCGACCTTACTTGCTTTATAATTATGCGAATCGACATATGATGCGATGCGACACTACCCAAGAAGTACGTTTAAAATATGTCTTGATGCCCGAAGTATAATCTCAAACTTGCTTGCTAGGTCTGGGACGAATGTTAGCAACATAATTAATTTTCTTAAAGTAAATAGTAATAATTTCTACTTTGTACGTGTTTAGCTGCATAAAATCTTACCCACATATATTTACTATACGTCAAATAGCAGTTTGACATGTCTCCAACTTTGTTTTATTATACTGTTTAGTTTTGTTAGAGATTTAAGAAATTATAGAAATACTTTGTTGTTTTCACAAGATAAGGTATTATCAAGCTAAAAGCTAAAGGTCACCTTTAGTTGATTATATTAACCTTCACTTTAACAAAAGAGAAGCTCAAAAAGTGGTTCGTAAGTAAATATTTGTGACTGGGCCGTTAAAACTTTATAACTTATGATGGTTCCGACATCGATCAGTGTGAGACCTGATACACCTTACATTGCCGGTAGCAAAAAAATTATAAAATGAGTGTAATAAAATATTTTTTAACATTTGAAGTTATTTTTGTAAAAATATTGATTATTAATTTTATTATTGTAGGCTAAAACTACTACACCACCAAGATTATTCACATTTTTTTTTAAATTATTATTAGCTGACAAACAAGAACACGACTGACTTTGTAGCTTGTCACCGTAACCTTTTTGACCACTTTGTTCAGAGTCCACTTTATATAAGCATACAATTAAACCAGAATAGAATTTCACCACCACTGCGGTTGTTCTTAGATAGGCCGCGTATTAGTTTGCTAACTTGCTTGCATAGAATGCTTTAGCTCTGCCGTTTCGCCCGGATTTCGTTCCGATATCCCTCGGGAGCAGTACTTTTTTCAGTGAATGAAAAATTTCTTGATGATCGGTTGATTATTAAGACTTGAAAGCGTGACAAACTATCTTACCTGTGCATTAATTTATTATATTAGTTGGGACTCTTTGTGCAATTTGAATGCAAAATACTTTTTATTGAGATAAATGTAATAGCAAAGCCCGAACTCATAATATTTTTGCTTGCTCTCTTTTCCCTATGTACGAGAAGCTACCTCTTATTTTTAGCAATATATATTTAGCAATTTAATATATATTTTTTAGCAATTAGCGACCATAAATACACTTCAGATTAATCCTTCTTGGCTTGACTTGATACATATTCGAACAACATGGTATCAAAAAGCTGTGATATTTAGATTTCGTGTGGAGTGAAACTGAGATGACACGTTCTGCAGAACTCGACCCATACCTTAAGG